CTGTTTTAAATTCTCTAATATTGCCAAAACCAGTTTGGCTCAGTGGATAGAGTGTCAGCCTGCGGACTGAAAGGTCATGGTTTCAATTCCAGTCAAATGCATGTACCTTGGTTGTGGGCACATCCCCAGTAGGGAGCTGATCAGTGATTCTCTCTCATTGATGTTTCTAACTCTCTATCCCTCTCTCTTCCTCTCTGTAAAAAATCAATAAAATATATATTTTAAAAATTCTCTAATATTAAACGGCTGGATATTTCCATATTGAAAAACCCTCAGCACTTTCTTCTTACCTGATGCTGTGATACAGGCCTGAACTATTCATGTGTATGTGCAGGCCCCTTATTTTCACACACACTAGATTATACATCTTTGTGTTACTCCCAGAGCCCACCATGCTCAATAAATCTTATAAGGAAGGCATGCAGGTAGATGGAAAAAAAAATGGACTAACAGATATATGGAGGATAAAAATCATGAAGACAAGAGAATAGAAGGGAGTGTTTTGGATTGAAATGTTTAAAAGAATAAAGTTTCTAAGTGATGAGTTTATGAAATGTATAACTGGTCATTTCTTGCCATGTGTACGATTCTATTCGTGCATTTACAAAGCACTAGATGTTATGCTGAAACCCTAACAGAAGACGTTGCCCTACCGTAAGGACATACTGCCTTCCAATCTTGCTTCATCTCTACTGAAAATATTTAGCAATACTCTGGGAAACATGAAAGAGGTACTTCTCATATTCACCACAGTCTGAAGAATTATGAGTGATAGAAGCAAAATTGTGAAACCTGCTGTACTGAACTTTTGTGTTGCTCATGCATGCAGATCTGTTTGTCAGTCTGATATACGCCGTCAAGAAAGTTAATACATGGAATACCCATTTCTAGGCTTTGACACAAAGATCTACAATAGTTGTGGAAATATTTGTTCAGTGATCTTGCATCTAAATATGTAAATTGTTCCTACACACTTGAAAGTATGTAATGGATTAAAAATGATCTTATTATGTACAAATGTAGAGGACCATAAAAATTAAAAAAGTTACTGACTTAATTAAATAAAATTAGTATAAGAATAACTAGAAGCAGAAAACAATATCTTTACTGGAGACTATTCTGTGATATGCAAGGCCTCTCAGAGGAAGTGACACAGGGGTACTTTTCTATGCACTGTCTTATTTTGATCTTCATAACATCTCTCTTAAGAAAACTTGAAAGTTTATTTCTGTAATTCATACATATAAAAAGTAACACACTAAGTACATACTTGGTCCAAGTCTCAAAGTCAGGAAGTAGCAAAACCAGAACTCTAACCCAGACCTTCTTAGTGTTCTTTCTGTCATCCCAAACTAATTCAACATGCCACAAATAGTTAAATTCAATAAAAATAAATGTATATTTATTCCCAAGAGATAGGCAAGCAAAATAAGTTTCAAGTAGCATTATTAAAATTCTGCCTGGACTTGGAGCAGCCAGGCCCGGAGCAGCGGCTGCCAGGCTGGGAGCAGCCAGGCCCGGAGCAGCCGGGTCAGGTGCGGCCAGGCCCGGAGCAGCAGCAGCCAGGCTGGGAGCAGCCAGGCCCGGAGCAGCCGGGTTATGTGCGGCCAGGCCCGGAGCAGCAGCTGCCAAGTCCAGAGCATCTAGGTCGGGAGCGGCAATGACCAGACCCGGAGCAGCTGGTTGTGGAACGAACCAGAGCAACAGAGGCCAGGCCCGGAGCAGCCAGGCCCGGAACAGCTCACTCCTTGCCTGCCCCTGCCCCACGGCTGCCTTCTCAGACATGGCTGAAAACTTTTGTGGGAACTTGAGGGTCTGCTGAATCAAGTGGGCTTAGATCTGGATGTGTGGAGTTAGTATAGTGCTGGGGTGTTGATCTGTGAGTGCCTTGGGTGGGGCCTGCATGAGGCTGGTTGACCTATTTGGAAATGTCTTTTGTGTGAAATGTATCATTGGGCATGTGGAGGTATTATTGATACGAGAAAATGCTAAGTAACTGATTTACTATCTGAAAAGGGATTTACTATCGGGGAAAGGGAGGGAGAAAGAGACTGAACATAAACTGTGCACCTATGGATGAGGACAATGGGGGATGGGGAGGGGGCGAAGGGTGGGGTGGGAACCTGGTGGAGGGGGGAAGAAATGAGGAACCTTTGTAATAGTATGAACAATAAAGATTGATTAAAAAAATAATAATAAAATAAATAAAATAAAATTCTGCCTGGAGTATTATAAATCCTTTTGAACATGACAATAATCTCTTTATATAAATACAATTCTTCTCTGATCATTAAATATTCCATATTTCCTAGCTCCAGGCAACAGCAAAACTTTCACCTCTTAAATGCATATGTGCCAGATTCTGTCATATATTCTCTTCACTCACTGACTTCAATTCTTACAACAATCTTATGAGGCAGTTATTGTTATCATCATCATCACTGTTGTCAGTATGTAGATGGAGAAAAAAGGAGGCATAAAGAGGTTAAGTGTCCTGGCCAATGTGGCTCAGTTGGTTGGGCGTCATTCCTTGCACTGAACGTTTGCAGTTTTAATTCCAGGGCACATGCCCGGCTGCAGGCTTGATTCCCAGGCAGGAGGCAGCCTGTCTATGTTTGGCTCTCACATCAATGATTCTGTCTCTCTCCCTCTCCCTTCCTCTTTCTCTAGAAATGAACTTTTAAAAAATATATTTAATAAAAGAGGTTAAGTAGCTTGTCCATGACCATTTAGCTAAATACCACTGGTTCAGTGGCTCTTAACAACAATGTTATGCTGTCTCTTCAAATAGAAGCCTCTTTATGCCATTCCAATCTCTCCCCTATTAGATTCAACCAAGAGAAGGGAAGAACCTCTAATTTACATTAATGACTTAAGCTCTTCATGCGCATGTCTAAGCAATATCAACTCGGACACCACTGATTACACCTCATCTACAAAGTGCTGGAGGACCCGTATGTAAAGTGTCTGACAGAGCACCTGGCACAGCATACGCAGGTGACAATTTCTGAGAGTCTACGATATGTCTGTCATTATGCTTAATGCTTTTCTCTACACATGTATTCCATAAATGTTACCATTATTCTTTTATTTTCTCCTAGGATAGGCTAGATCCAAATCTGTTTCTTTGGAAATTAAGTTGGTCAGTGAAGAAAATTTATTCCCATGGAGTCAAGGACTGTCACATCACTGAGTGTACTAAGATGTTGCATACGGGTTATAAGGGGCTGCTACTGCTCTGGCCTTGAAGAAACCCAGGTGCAAATGGAACCCCCGCCCCCCTCCACAGTCTTCCTCTCCAGGAAAAGTAATACTTAAAGCACAAATAAATTTTAAGTTTATATAAGCTCTCTCCCTGAATCCTTTTTAAATATTCTGCTTTTTTGACACTTTTTAAAGAAAAATAATTGATAAAAGAAATCTGTATTCACACATAACTCCTGAGAAATCCATCTATTATGCAAAACACACTCCATCAGTCTCCCCTGCTAAAACTACAGTTTGGAAAAATTTGATTTAAAAATAATACTAACTCATTAATTAGTCCAACAAGAACTGAGCAAGAAGGGTTTAAAAGGTAATGGGGGCGGAGGAGGACAAATATATAATACTTTAATCAATAAAGAAATTAAAATGTAAAAAAAAAAAGAAAAAAAATCTGAGAAAGAGCTATCGTGCATACGTTGTATTAAATGAAGTAGATATAAAAACAAAGAACTCAGAGTAGTAAACAAAACTGATCCCATGGAAACTAGTCATTTTTTAAGATATGGCAATGACTATTTCCAACTTGCCACAGTGTGTTCAAATCATAGAAATGGTCATATGAAATACTGTGACAATTGCTTAGAAAAAGCCATACCTTTTACAAAAGATTTGTATATTTGTGTGTGTGTGTCTGTGTATGTGTATGTGTCTGTGTGTAGAGACACATACATATATATTGCATATGTCTTATAAAAATGTGAGCCATAAAGATGTATTTTATATGTACATCTATATATACTAATCTATACATATAAAAGCCTAAATGACCATCGTAACGAACAGATGACCAAACAGGCTGCGTGGGGTGACCAGGCTGTCAGGGGGGTTAGTGAGGGGTGGCCAAGTGACTGAGCAGCGGGTTGCGTGGGACAACCAGGCCTGCAAGAAGGGCAGTTAGGTGCGACCAGGTAGACAAGAGGGGCAGAGAGGAGTGACGAGGTCAGCAGAGGGGGGCAGTGAGAGGTGACCAGGCCGGCAAGGGGGGAGCAGTTGGAGGCAACCAGGCCGGCGGGTGGGGGGAGGGGGCAGTTGGGGGCAACTAGGCCAGCAGATGGGGCAGTTAGAGGCGATCAGGAAGGCAGGCAGGTGAGCAGTTAGAAGCCAATGGTCCCAGATTGTGAGAAGGGTGTCTGACTGCCGATCCTAGAGATGGGGCCTACACCAGCAGTTGGTCATCACCTGAGGGGCAGTCTGGGCTGAGGGAAACCCCCCCCCCCAACTCCCTGGACAAATTTTGTGCACTGGGCCTTCAGTACAATATAAAGCAAGTTTCTTTACTAAAGTAAACATATTCAGCACCAGTGCACCTTAGAGTAAGACCAGAGACCCAGGATGTCTGCTGAATCTAGTGAATTATTCAAATAGATCCATAGCTTTTCCTCCCTAATGTTCTTCAAACTCCTAGTTGATTAATGTATTACATCTAAATAAGAAAGATGTAGAACTACTTACAGTAACTGAGAAGGGAAAAGGTGGGAGGTAGTGAATATACAAGTAGACAGAGTCCTGGGTTTCATTGTACATTCCACAGCCAATATGAATGATATTGATTTTCAGATTATCTGCTCTTTTATATTAATCGTACCTCCTCTCCCCTCTGTTAGTGAAGAGAACACATTGTCTATGCATTTGCTTGATTTCACAAAGAGGCCTGAATCACCACTTAAAATATCAATCATTCGTTTAAGATTAGTCTCTGCTAAAAGCCTGCAGTGACATGATAATGCACTAACCTGTCTCCAGTTAATGGCAAAACAATGGTTGCTTGAGAAGAAAACACAATGAAAGATACTCTCATCTGAGGGCTGCAAAATAAGAAGAGAGGCAGTTAAAACATGTTTCAAAGAAATATTGACACAATACAGATATAGAGCCAGGCTTGAAATCAGTCTCACGGAATAGTCCATGCTTCTTTTAAATGGAACCCCCTAAGTAGATACACTAACTCTGCTTCACGTTCCTGCATAAGTCATTTTGGATTCAGGCAGTGCTTCTCAGCTCTCAAACACTCCTCCATGCCCTTTGGGGCTATTTAGGAAGAGACTTACTAGAAAGATAAAATTCTAGGTCCATGAAAAATTCTTTTGAGAAACTGCTTGATGTTCTACCCCATCTCCTTAAAGGAGACCAAACCCTGCAGAGAGACTATGGCTAGCAATCGAGGGCTGGAGAGCAGCCAGTTTGACTTAATTGCAAGTGTATTATGAACTTCATAAAAAGTTATCCTGAAGTAAGAATACTTAAATTTAATTGCCATGGACAATGTAAAAGAGACCAACAAATCCCGTTTTGATCAGGCACTTCAATTTCCTAAGTCTCAAAGGCCCTATTTCCAACTGTCAACAACTGCCCCAGTTAGCTGCATCTTTTAAGCTTTAGGCATTTATACCACAGAATGGTTCCTGTTTCCAAGACACACTTTGCAACGATTACTCAGATTGCAAACTGAAGATATGAATCTAAAACCCACAGACCAAAGAGCAGAATGATGTCCCCTGCATATTTTGAAAATCATTCACTTCAGTAGTCACCCTTTATTCACTTCCTACACTGTATCTTAGTAACGGAGAAACCAAACTTGAGCCAGAAACTGTATTACAGAAGACCATCTTGCAAAGCAGACTGAATGAAGAAGAACCTCACTTCCTGAAAATGTTGTACAGAAATGATCCACTGCTCTCCATCAAAACCTGTGTGACACTCTCTGCACACTCTTGGATTAAATCAGAAAATGTACAACTTTCTTCTGCCTTTGACATTTCAGGACATAGGGCCCTGTTTATTTTTCTCTCTTAGACCGTTTTATCTCTGACATTGTCCAGAAATGAGTGTTATACTTGGTTTCTGGTACAGGAGAAGGATGATGAAACATGGACAAGCATACATTTTTATAGGGATAACTTTATGACTGCCAATAACTGAAAGCAAGGATTGCCTAGGCCTCTACAGATTGTTGAAGTTACTTGCAACATGACTTTCAAAATGTTTTGATCATCCAAGCCTGTTTTGCAGACAACATTTGGGCTAACGAGACTGAAAGAAGCAATATTTAATGATACAGCTCCTTTTTGTGTCCTTCCCATTATCTTGATAAACTTGCATTTGCTCATTGCATATTTTTTCCTTAAAAAAGAAAAATGAAAGAGGGGGAAAAAGCCTCAAAGGCCTGGTGTCTGGGGGCCATTTTCAAGTAGGGATGCCACTAATTCCTAGTTACTTCTAAATAAGAGAGTGAGCTGGATTACATAGTAGTTCTGCTTTTTATAGGAGTCTTTCCTAGTAAGCCTTATTGCATATATAGAACAGTTAAATTTTAAACGCACCACACACACCCCACCCACACATTTTGTAAACACAAGTCATTTCTTTAAACATCCACACAAGTGCCTTTTCTGGTAGTAGGTTATTAACACATGTTCATTTGAAGTTTACCAACACTTTTTTTTTTTTTAATGAGGACCTCTACAATGCTAAGAATCGTGTGGAAAGGAAAATATATTATGAAGACTATTCGCATAAAAAAATCAATGTGAAAAATTATGAGAAAGCATAACTGAAATTCATAACAGATGAAGATTCAAAAAGGAAGAGACATGTGGAATAGCATTTGAAGATGCTTCCCCGGAGCCTGAGCCAAGTTTCTGGGCTCCAGATGACATAAGCCCTTCACCAGTGAAGGTCTGTTCTCATAAGCGTGTGTGAGCAATAATGAACTTGGGGAGGCTCTTTAACATCCACATTTCACTGACGGCATTTCCTGCAAAAGGTCTCAAAAAAAAGGGGGGGGGGGGGGGGGAGGACACTCAACATGTTGGTCTACTTCCCTCAATGTCACACTCCAGTCTCTAGGAAAGTAAAGCGGGGGAAATACCTCACAAATCGTTCTGTCAGTTGCTTGACAAAATCGTAAATTTCAAACCAGTTATTGGACACACTCCAAGACCTGGAAAAGAAACAGAAAAGGAAAGAAAGAAATAGAGCGAATCAGAGAAAAACAAACACGCACATGGGGCCGCTTCTAGAATCAAAGTCACAGTACCAGAAATGAAACTTAGGCGCTACAAGAACTGAGAAAGTCAACCCATCTTTGGGAACCACCTGCCTGCTCATAGTTTGGAGCAGGACCCAGGCTCTTTAAAATAGACACAGCCCAGCCGAAACCGGTTTGGCTGGTGGATAGAGCGAAGGTCTGCGGACTGAAAGGTCCCGGGTTCGATTCCGGACAAGGGCATGTACCTTGGTTGTGGGCACATCCCCAGTAGGGGGGAGTGGGGGAGTGCAAGAGGCAGCTGATAGAAGATTCTCTCTCATCGATGTTTCTAACTCTCTATCCCTCTCTCATCCTCTCTGTAAAAAATCAATAAAATATATTTTTAAAATAATAATAAAATAAAACAGACACAGCCCACTTCCCAGGAAATGCTAACCACACTGGGTGGGGGGTGGGTTAACCCTAGGCATTTCCTAGGATAAAACCAAGCACACTTTAGCCAGAGGGACTGGGTGAGGACTGGGAGGCTGACCAACAGCCTGGTCTGGGTTCCAGGGGCACAGAAGGCTACGGGGGGAGGGGGGGGGGGAGCATTTCCATTTCCCAAGAGGCCCTTGTTGGACTGGCAAGCAGGGACTCTCCCACTTTCCTCGAGGCCAGCACCTCTCTGGATGGCTCCTATCACCACCCCCAGCCAGCAAAGACCCCCAAAGCGCTGGCCCTCGGCCAGGAAACAGCAACAAGGTAGCCCCATCCCCGGGTGTCTCCTCCCTCTCCCTGGGCGCGGGCACACCTCTAGGCTTCCCCAGCCACAACTCACCCCCCACAGCCACCCGCACCCCAAGACACTGCACCCCCTCGGGCACTCACTTGTCCAGGACAAAGTAGAGATCAAAGGCGCCTCTGCAGCTGGGCTGCTCCTGGGCGCTGAGCAGCCCCCCGGGACCGCTGAGCGCCAGCAGCCACAGCCCCGGGACCAGCCAGCTCCCCGCACTGCGCGCCAGGGACCGCCGCGCCACCATCGTGCGGCCGGCGGGGGCCTGGGCTCCGGCAGCTCCTGGCCCCTCGGCGGGGCCCCCCGGGACGCGGCGGCCGATAGGAGTCACCCAGGACCCCGGGGCGGGAGGACGAGGAGCTGCGAGGGCGCCTGGAGCAGCGGAACCCACTCCCGGGAGGAGGGAGGGCGCAGGGGAGGGAGGGAGGTCCGCAGAGGACAAAGGGAGGCTCTGCAGCCGCAGCCCCAGCTGCTGCCGGAATCCAGACGAGTCCCAGCGGCGGAGAGCACTCAGTCCTTTCCCAGCGGATCCGGAGAGTTTCTGCAGACGATCAGGGCCCAGGCGACAGCGCGCGGAAGAAGTTCCTCCCGGGCCTCTAGACCGGCCTCCAGACCCGCCTCCAGCTCCCTCCTAGGACAGGACCCCGAGTCCCATTCCTCGAGGTGGCCTGGAGCCCCGCGGCTGCCGTGCGCGGCGGGCAGGCGCCCCCCAGGACGGCTGCACAAACTCAGAGCGGAGGTCCGGGTCCTCTGGTTCCTTCCCCTCCTCCGGTGGCCCCGGCTCCCCCGGGCTCCGCAAACTTTCTTCCCTGAGCTCGGCCGGGGAGGCCGGACGGTCCCCTTTAGGGGAGGAGGCTGAGCTGCCCCGGGGCGAGCGGCTTGGAGTGGCCACTCCGACCAAAGCCAAGAGCTCCGCGCCGCCAAGTCCCGGCTCCGGGTGGGCGGGGCCTGATCTGGAGCCCCAGCCACACAGGCACACTTGTGCGCTCTTGCCTTGTTGAAAATGACTAATGCTTGCCAAACTGTGGGAAGAGGAGGAGTTTAGAAAAACAAATGTCCTGCGGACGCTGAGCATACCCATAGATCCTGCAGGCCTGGTCTGTTTCAGCAGCTTGGGTCGCTGAAATTGAAGACCAAAGACTAACAATTGCAAAGGGGGGGGGGGGGAGGGGGGCGGAGGATGATAGACTATTCCGCCCCACCCCCTTGCTACCACTAGCACACACTCTTTTTACTTCCCCAACTCTCCACCTAGGAGGGCAACTTCTTCTTTTTTTCTATTATAAACATACTTTGTAGTTTCATCTCGACAAGGAAGGGTGTGTGTGGGGGGGGGGGGGGGAGGAGGGGCAGACAAGGGGGAGAAACTTCTAGGAGTGGAAAATGGAATTTCAAAATATTTTTTTCCACTGTCATCTACCCCAATCTCCACATATTAAGAATGTCATCTTGGGGCAAGCCAGGATGCCTTACCAAACTAGTGCAGGAGATGAAGTTTGCTACATTCAAATTCTCTGTATAGTCTATTTACACTCTTCCCCCCCACCACCACCCGCCTGCCTTCTCCTTTCTCCTTTCCATCACTTCCACCTAAGTCTCTGCCTTCTCCAGGTTGAAACGGGTTTTTGGAAGTTATAATGATTGACAGTAATGTGACTTGTCACCTCCTCCTTTGTGTTTTAACTAAAGCAATGCTTTGTGAGAAAAAGTTCACATAGCACTTAATTGCATATTGCCTTTTACTAATCCCTTTTGTTTGTTTTCATGTGTACACAACTTTTCATTTAAGTTATTTTTTATATACAACCAGATTTGTTTATAAGCATTTTGAGAATAGAAACCAGTCACTTTAACAAAGATTTACTATCAATTATCTATTAGCACTTACAGTTAAAGCACAGAACAAAGTGACAAGCACCTGCCTTCACCAAGCTTAAGGTCTAGTCAAGGAAGAAAAACAGACAAAAATAAATAAATACATGTCCATATTAAAAGGTGGTTTGCAGAGATTTAAAATGTCCTATCTAATAAAAGAGTAATATGCAAATTAACCATCACTCCACTACACCCACCAGCCATGCCCATCAGCCTATCAGAGCAAGTATGCAAATTAACCCCAACCAAGATGGTTATTGCCACAGAGAGCAGGAGGGAGGCTTGGATTTCTCCAGCAATAGAGGAAGCCAAGCTCCAGGCTACAAAGTTTCAATGATAGAAGATACATAAATCCAAACAGAAATGGCAGCCATGAAGCTGGAAAGAGCAGGAGGCTAGAGTTGCCCCCGGCAATAGGAGAACCCAAGCTTTCCACACACCCTGGCCGGCTTAGGCCGCTGCTTAAGGCTCAATTATAGAAGGTACATAAGTCCCAACAAAATGGCTGCTGCCATGGAGCAAGCAGAAGGTTTGACTCTGCTCCAGGCTACAAAGTTTCAATTGTAGAAGATAAATAAACCCCAGATACCAGGGCCTCCGCTTGGGTTGCCGGAGGGTATGGTTGGCCTGCAAACCACCACAGGCCCCTCACCCAGGGAAACCCGCATACCCCAAGGAAGCCCACACCCTGATCTGGAACATCCTTTAGGGCAAACCAGCAGGCCCCAACCCATGCACCAGGCCTCTATCCTATCTAATAAAAGAGTAATATGCAGATGGCTGCCCCCATGTGGTCAAAGATGGCTGCCCCAATGTGGACACAAGATGGTTAGCAGGGGAAGGCAGTTGGGAAGGACTAGGCCTGCAAGGGAGGGCAGTTGTGGGCAATCAAATCTGGGGGGAGGGCAGGTGGTGGTGACCAAGCAGGCAGAGGAAGGAAGTTGGGGATGACCAGACCTGCAGGGAAGGGCAATTGCAGGGGACCAGGCCTGCAAGGGAGGGCACTTGCGGGGGAGGGCAGGCCTGTAGGAAAGGGCAGTTAGGAGTGACCAGGCCTGCAGTAGAGGGCAGTTAGGGGTTACCAGGCCAGCAGAGGAGGGAAGTTAGGGGGGACCCAGGCCTGCAGTGGAGAGCAGTTAGGGGTGACCAGGCCTGCAGGGGACAGCAGTTGGGGGCAAACTGGCTGGCAGGGGAACAGTTAGGCATCAATCAGGCTGGCAGGGGAGTGGTTAGGGGCAATCAGGAAGGCAGGCAGATGAGCAGTTGGGATCCAACAGTCCTGGATTGTGAGATCCCTTTAGGCCCATGGGATCAGACCTAAACAGGCAGTTGGACATCCCTCAAGGGGGTCTCAGATTGGAGAGAGTGCAGGCTGGGCTGAGGGACACACACCCCCATTGCCCAAATTTCATGCACTGGGCCTCTAGTTTAATATAATAGAGAATAATTGACTAGATGATAAACCAAAAGAAGGCAGTTATTCCAGAAGCTGAAAGAGGACACATTCCCAGCTCCTGCAACTCTCCATAGGCATTACCTTAGCACATTCAAGAAGCAGAAAGATGATCATGTGGCTGGATCTGCATGGGTAAGGTGAAGTAAGAGAGGTAGGCAGAGGCCACATTTTACAAAACTGTGATAAAGATTTCCAATATTTTATATTAGGTGTGATGAGAACCCAGTAGATAATTTCAACCCCAAAGGTGGGATAGGGGGTAAAGTAATAAAATCTATGCTTTTCAAAGATTATTCACGTTGATATGATACAATGGACTTGGAGGAACAAGAATGAAAGGAGGGAGACCAGTTAGGAGATTATATCATCCTACAGCAGCTAAACCGAGAAAAATGAATGGATAAGAGCTTCAGTAAATACAGATTGACCCTCAGTTTCAAAATATCTGCCACTTGGAGATGGAAATTCTAGTACCTTTCACTCGACCCAACCACTTCTTCTTCTTCTTTTTTTTTAATATATATTTTATTGATCTTTTACAGAGAGGAAGAGAGAGGGATAGAGAGTTAGAAACATTGATGAGAGAGAAACATTGATCAGCTGCCTCCTGCACACCTCCTACTGGGGATGTACCCGCAACCAAGGTACATGCCCTTGACCGGAATCAAACCTGGGACCCTTCAGTCCGCAGGCCGACGCTCTATCCACTGAGCCAAACCGGTTTCGGTGACCCACCACTTCTTAATTGATGGGTCGGGGAAGGTATTGATGGGGCTATGGTAGTTAAGGAGGCAAGGACAATGGGCCAAGTACAAAAGGTCACTAAGATGGGATCTCATCCGCAGTGTGACCTTTCTTTCCTAGCAACTAGGCCTTAGTTGTATTTCAGCTCTAGGCCCAGAAAAGCAGCAAAACCAGATAAACATGAGACTCCAGGGCTGACCTCAGGACCAGCTGCATTGAATAATGACTATCTGCCAGCAACATATCCTCATGATGAAGAATTGTAAACCACATTTATTGGCTTTCTTTTCCCCTAGCTTCTAGACTCTTTGCTCATCTTCTGGGACTCCACAAACTGATCTCAGAAACTATCTTCTTTTAGTCCCAAAATAAAACAGAATACCTTAAAATTTGTCCTTTCTCCAATTCCCTGGCCCTAGTCAAGTCCTCCCACTCAGTACCTCTTTCCTGAGGACAAAGCCAGTAGAGGTGATGGATATACTGAAGTTTGTCACCATTCTTTTGTTTGTTTGGGTAATTAGTTCTGAAACTCTTTTCATGTTATTCATTGGTGGGAGTGACCAAGCAGGGACGTGGCTTCTCCTGGCACAGACCAATAATTAATCAATAATTATATAATTATCAGAATCACTTTCACCTAATAAAAATCAATGGAAAATGCATTAGTTACTGTCCTGATCTGTTCCAGGTGAGGGGTATCTAGGGACAGGGGACTCTCAGGGCTAAACATGGGGCAGTCTTGAAATAGTCCTTGGTGAAGGAGGCTGTTGAACCTCCGAATTCCCAAACAATAATGAGGGCAGACTTGGGATCTCACCAAACCACAAGGAAGGAGCAGTAACAATAGCAACACCCTCTCATCTCCTCTACCAGGTGTGAAGACTGGGGCATTGCAACAGCTAGACTCTAGCCAGGTTAAGGTTTCAAAGTTACATTTGCACCATAGCAGACATTCTGGAACTGAGTTTAACTTTCAGTTTTAAATCAAGAATGGGATAGGGAATGCAGGTTTTTAAACAGAGAGAGAAAAAACGAAAGGGGATATTAGAGAGGGAAAGCAGAGAGGAAGAGAGCAATGTGGCTAGACTGAATTATTTAGATAAATAAATCTAAAATATTTTTTATCAAATTATCTAGATTTCTGCTAAAGTATTTTGCTTCACAGTCCATACAAGGCCCTACTCTTTGGAAATTATTTGTATCAAACCAAACTTCAAATTCAATGTGTGAACGAAAAGAGCCACATGCTAACCTGACAAGCTCAGGGGAGGCCTGTGTGGCAGTCTTGCAAACTCAGAGACCTAAAGTAACCACAAAAGATGGTGTTAACGGGGGGGGGGGGGGGGGGGGGGGGGGGGGGGGGGGAGACACAAAAAACAAAAAACAAACCATTGAAACCTGTAAAGAATTGTGAGTTTATATGAGCCAAACTGTTGACATATGCCTGGAAGCAGAACCTAACGGAATGAGATAATGCCCCAGAGAATGCAGGGTTATATTTCTATATTTATACATTGCATTCAAAGGAAAGGAACGTAGGTGAGTTACATGAAATTCATTGGTGATAGATTAGGGAGGTGGGACAGAGCAAAGTGGGGAAACCTCTGGGATAGGGTAATAGGTGAAATGATGGACTTGAGCTTCTTTTACAGAGATAGATACAGGATACTCTGAGATAATTAACAGTTGACAATTAACTGGATAACAGTAACAATGAAGGAATGTCTCGAGGCCATTTTTTGTGCCCTGAGGGGTCCAGGGTAAAAAGGAAGTTACAAGTTACCCAGACATCTCATAGATATGTTATCTTAGAGGCCTGAAAGGCAGATGGGCTCAGTAAACGAGATCTAA